TGCGGCAAGGGCTTGCCTCTAGGAAGCATGTGACCTGTCTTCCTGCTTGCTCGGCAAAGGTCCTCACTGAGTGACTCCATCTCACTCAGTCGCCAGGGCAGCGAGCCGCCACAGTGGGCTTGTGGCAGTCCAGTCCTTGCAGGAGGAGGCTGTGCACGATGTAGGGAGGCAGGATTCGCCAGGTCCAATTTTCCTTAATCCTTTATAAATTACTGGAGGTCCAGAGTGATGCAAGCTTTCCAGTGAGTGGATGAGTCAAAAAATGGGGAATATCGGCTGGCCAGGGGGGGTTGCCCAAAGAGCTTATCTGACTCATCCAATCATGAGAGGACAAGATCAACCCATTCTGGATACTCCTCCCCCCTCACTATGGAGAAAAAGTATTTACAGAAAATATAATTAATTTAAACTAATTTAAACCTGACATGTTATCCACTGCAGCCTATAGCCTCCCTACTCTCTACTCAGAACACAGGTATTAGTATTTCAGTTACTAAGTTATCTATTTCTAGGAAAAGACACAACAAAAGGAACTTCATTCACAGTCCTCTCCCTGTGTGTGTGTGTGTGTGTGTGTGTGTGTATTTGTGCACACTTGTGTTTGTCTCTATGTGCACAATTTTGGATTGTTGTCATTTGAGAGCTTCCTGTGCAAACAGAACCCTGAAATATGAGATCCAGATGTACCACTGGTCTCACCTAGCTGAAGGTGTGATTTGAGACATGTGAAACTCTTTCTATGTCTTTGCTAAGTTACAGTACTTACTCACTGTGCTTTCTGAAATTGAAACTGTACAGGACCCTTCTTCCAAATGTGAGAAGATTAAAATTCCAGAACACAACAGAGAGTTGCACATCAAAATGAACACACCCCATTAAATTATCCTTAATGAAAATGGACTGTCCTTCTTCAGGCAACTGCAGCTATCATTTTCTTATTAATTTTGTATACTGGTGGAATCACTTATCTTTGCTACCACTTTGCAAATGTTAGCGCACTTGCACTGCATGTGCAGAAGGTTGCATATTACGTCGGGGCGGTGGTGGGAGGGCGGAGCCTCCAGCCTCCACCACTGACGGTTCACCCAAACCGGTAACAATCAGCTGAATACCATACCACTGATACTATCATAGTCACATACTACTCAAATAAACAAAACAAACCCTCAGCCTTGAACCACATTTCAATTCATGAGGCAGTGGTAAAAGCCACCATATGACAGAAAAAATTCATGAAAAGATCAGTAAGTTAAGTGCATACATTTTTTTCAAAGGTTGCTGAACAGTCCCCTCACCTCACGCTGGAACTGATTCAACTGCTGCTGGAGGTTGGCTTTCTCGCTCTTCAGAAGAGAAGTCTCCTTGGATTCATAAGCTGGGAACAGACGTTCTTCTCCAAAGTCACTGATCAATGGAAACTGCAAACCAGATATAAAAAAATGCATGTCTATATGTGTATATATATGATAATATTGTGAGTTTATGTAGCTATATGTACACAAACACACACACATTTCACTATATTTGCACAAAATGGGAAGTAATAACATGTAAATCTGCATGTAATATCTGAATATCAAAGAGTTACAAAGCTAGCTGCTAAAATAAAGACAGAAAAATGATACAGAAAAAAGAGTTATCCGGCCTGGACTAAGTAGATTTTTAAAAAATCAAACACTGGGTAAAATATAAATATATTCAATGCTTCAATTGTCTTTCCACGAAATTTCTAATTGAAGTTGATAGTAATCTGTGGGCCACAATATGAGAGCTATTGGTTTAAGAAGGAGGTTCTCTATTTAGGTAGTTACTTTTATTTTATTTAAAATATAAAAACCAGACAAAAGGAAGGAGGTGTTGCAAAACATCTGAACAGATTTATAACAAGTCAGCATTGGCAGCAATATGGCATTTTTCCTAGGTAAAAAAAATTAAATAGACTGGCTAATGCCTAGTTAGCACATTGGTCCATCTAGCCACTCTTGGCATGATCAAATGGTCCACAGAGGTGTTAAAAAAAGAATAAATGAATTAAAGGCTACTCTAGCCTTCTTTATCTTTGCATCCTACAGAGGTATTAGAATATAACTTCCCAAAACTATTCTGGCTGAAATTTCTGAAACTTCAGTCTCAATACAGGCAGTTGGAGAAAATTGTCCTAGCATAACAGGAACCAACACATTAAAAAGTAGGAGGGACGCGCTCAGCTCCTATTGTGTGAGGTCAACGTTCTGTAGCAACAGGTAATTACATACATTCCTGCCCATGTTAGGAGCAACGTTTCCCCCCCCCCCCAATTGATATATGCTATTTTTCTGACTGGCCTTACTTTAGACAGCAACCACTCACCTTGATCTCATACATCTTTAGCTTCCGTTTGAGGTTAGTGTTCTCCCTCTCTAGCCCTGTCAAGCGATTCTTGATGTCATCATATGCTGTGATGAAAGCAAAGTGAGAGGCAGAACACATCTCACTGGAGAGGTCAGTGTTCGGACTGTCCAACCATTCATCATCCTGCACCAAGGCATCTTGGGTAAGGATGCTGATGTCATCCTCAAACATGGAGTCCATGACACAGTCTGGAAGGAGTGAGCATTTAGCAGGAAATATCAATGCATGGCCAAATCTAGCTGTAGGAGGTGACAAGAAAGAAGAACAATAAGGGAAATAGCAAAATACTTTTTTTCTACCATTCCACTTCTTTTAAGCATCTTCTTATCGTTTTTGTTATAAGCTGAGCAAAAGATCTGTATATTTGTAAATGAATTTTAATTGTTGAAAGCTATTCTTTGGGACAATATGTGTTTGGAATCCAGGATAAAGTCTAATAAAGAAATGGTGCAAATACGCAGCTTAATAATGATAATGCAATACCAGAGGATGCCTCATAATGTCTTCATAGTTTAGTGGCATTTTAAACTATATGTTAATTTTTATCTCCCACAAGATAATATATTTTAATGAATATTAAAGGCTACTCTTTAGAAATTATATCAACATTTTTATTCAGACTTTGTTTACATCTTCTGATTATAGACTATATGCTTCCTATTGATAGCATATCATTTTTGTTTTAAAAATTTATGCTATACTAGTGTCATACTCCAGTACATATTTGTGTTTCTAACCCTTCATTTCTAAGTATGCTCAAGAATTGTGGTGGATTGCTCTCCCCCAGCTGCATCTACCAATTATGCTGTCTCACCCATCACATATTGCAGCAGTTTAGAAGTGCCTATTATGCTTATTGATGTGTGCTTGGAAGGAAGCTAAGCACAAATTGACCAGACAGGACTTGCTTGGCATCATCTTATGTCCTTCCCACCTGTTTTCAGGGAGCACGAAGTTTGTCAGAAACAATCTTACTATAACTCTCATTCCCCTCCCCCACAAGTCTTGTGTCAGAGAATGCCTGGACCTTTATTCACCAAGGATCCAGATCTAACTTGTGCCATTATATACAGTCCTGAATGACACCTGGGTCTAACTCTCTACCAGGCCACTTTATACCCATTAGCAGATTCTTCTAAGTCACCCCTCAAAAGTGAAAGAAAAATCTGCAACTCAAATGCTGCATTGAATTTCTCAGTATAAGTATTGGAAAGAAGAAAGTGCGTTAGTCAAGCCCAACACAGAGATGGTCTGTTGAAAGAACTGAACAACTTTGGACATGGGCACAGAACGTGACAACCCCACAGTAAAGGAAAAGAAATGGGGAAGGTGAATGGGAAGAAGAACAATAGCAAGATAAAATCAGGTACTGAGGAAAAGTGGGTGTCAAAACTGCTGCAGCAACTTGCACATCATAGCAGGCTTTTTCTAATGGCTAATGTGGGCGTGTTGAGAAAGAAATGAGACTACAAAAATCATTCATTATTTTTAAAAAGCAGAATAATTTTTTTACAGTTCCAAATGCTCTTATTCTCCCATACAAAGGAACAAAAATAGATAAAAGGTAACTATTGGCTCTTTAGGAAATAAAAAGCACAGGAAACTACTTGTATAGACTCAATCCACTGACCTATCCACTTCAATTTTCTGCATTCAGACGAGATAGAACATGATGGATCACGTTCTATCTCGTCTGAATAGAGATCAATAGTTCACTACAGATCTCTAGATGATCTGCAATGCCCGAAACTCATCTGATTCTCAGTTACCAAACAATAGCAACAATTTAAAAAAAACCATTTATCCTACTTCCTATAATGTTAATATTATCCTATAAAGTAACTGAAAGAAAATACAGAGAAAAATTAAGGTAGACTATTTCCCTGGTCAAGAGAGGTATTTTTCTGCATCTAAATTAATTTACTGATTATATAGGTTATAATTAAAATAAATACAAGCATTATTATTACTGCTCCCCACCTATTTCCAGAACTCTGGAAATATACATATAGATTTCTCCAGTAGTGGGATTCAAATAATTTAAAAACCAATTCCCCACGGTGGACATGGCCAGGGGATGTGACAGGCAGTGCTTGACCTCCTGTAGCTCCCTGGGAGCAAAAACAGGCTGTACCCTATTTTGGGCCTAGTAGGCCTCTCTGCAGCCTCCTAGGAACAAAAACAGGCTGCGGAGGGGAGGTGTCGCACTGCACCACTCCCCACACACAGTTTTGGGCCTTGTAGGCCTCCCTGCACTTACCTGCGAGCAGTGGGGTGCATGTGGACTCCTGAAAGAGGAGAGGCCAGCCAGCAATTTAACAACTGGTTCGGCCGAAGTGGTGTGAACCAGTTGAATCCCACCACTGGAGTTCTCCTATTTTGTATAAAACAATCCTATCGTATCGTATAGGCTGGCCTAAGGGAGAATGCTTCCTCTACCAGTTTCCTAAAACTCTACGGTTTCACCTAGAACTGTTCACTCTTGCCTTGTGTTTTCTTCATGTATCTATATGAGGTCTTCACCCAAGGCATGAAAATCAATATTTCTCTTTCTAGGAACTGACCTCAGCCTAGCAGCAAAGAGTCAAAAGATAATATTTTTTAATAATAAAAATTTAATAATAATTTACTCTTTTTACAGATATTGAAGCAGCTTTAATAATGGGGGGAAATCAGCTATTATATACGGGCTCTAGAAATCAATCTACATTTATAGAATAGAGTAGAATTCTTTATTGGCCAAGTGTGATCGGACACACAAAGAATTTGTCTCCAATACATAAGCTCTCAGTGTACATACAAGCAACAAGTGATACATCATGATCATAATCATCATAAAAATACATTACATTATAAATCATGATATATTTTGTGACCGTCAAAGGATACTAAATAACTAATCAACATAAATCATACTAGGATACTGAATAAGACAATTAATATAAAATTAACATAAAAAACAAGCAAGAAAGTTATAATCATAAGAAGATAAGGAAACAGATAATAGGAAAAATGAGAATAAAAATAGCAATACAGCCCTACTAGGTAGTTTGAAAGTATTGTGGGAATTAGTTGTTTGGCATGGGGGAGGGAAGAAAATTGTCCTTGTGCCCAATTGTTTTGGCTTGTAATGCCCTATGGTGTTGTCTTGATGGAAGAAGTTGAAACAGTTTAGGTCCAGGATGTGAGGGATCTGTAGATATTATCACAGCTCTCTTTCTGGCTCGTGCAATATACAGGTCCTCAATGTAAGGCAGGCTGGTAGCAATTTTTTTTTTTTTTGCAATTCTAACTATACATTGAAGTCTGTATCTGTCTTGTTCGGTTGCAGTGCCAAACCAGACAGTTTTAGAATGCAAATTACAGACTCAACAATTCCTTTGTAGAACAGTATCAGCAGCTCTTTAGGCAGTCTGAGCTTTCTGAGTTGGCACAGGGGGAACATTTTTTGTTGTGCTTTTCTGATGACATTTTTGATGTTAGGTGTCCTAACATCAACATCTTTACTCTTGAGATACTATAGAACCTAGAAACTTTGAAGGTCCCTACTGTTGATACTATGTTGTCTAGTATTGTAAGAGGTGGAAGAATAGGAGGACTTCTCCTTAAATCTATAATCATTTTTACAGTTTTGAGTATGTTCAGTACAAAACTGTTCCAGCTACACCACAAGGTTAGTTGTTCAACTTCCCATCTGTATGCAGACCAATCACTGTTGTATCATCTGCAAACTTCAGTACTTTAACAAAGAGATCCTTTGAGATGTAGTTGATATAGAGAGAGAAGTGGAGAGAGAATACAGCCCTGGGAGGCCCCTGTGGTACCTGATATGATTTTGCCTAGCTTTACCTGTTTCCTGTCTGTTAGAAAGCTTATGATCCATTTACAAGTGTGATCAGGTACAGCTGGCTGGTTTAGTTTAGTTAGAAGAATATCTGGAATGGTGGCATTGAATACGGAGCTGAAGTCTACAAAAAGAATCCTTGCATAGGTCCTTGGAGGTTCAAGGTGTTGTGGGATGTAGTTCAGAGCCATACTAACAGCATCATCTGCTGATCTATTGGTTCAATAGGCAAATTGCAAGGAGTCTAACAGCGGACGCGTGAAGCTTTTCAGGTGGGCCAGCACTAACCTTTCAAAGATTTTTATAACTATGGGTGTCAGAGCAACAGGTCTGTAGTTATTTAGATCCTTAATGGAGGGCTTCTTCAGCACTGAAATGACAGCAGAGCATTTGAAGCAAGAAGGAACATAACGTATCTCTAGATACAGGTCAAGATGAGGGCCAATTGGTCAGCAGAAGCTTTCAAGCAAAAAGCAGTTACTTTGTCTGGGCCTGGTGCTTTTTCAAGTGTTTGTCTGCATATCTTGACCTTGCATATCATTTTCGCTAATCACCAGAGGTAGGGGGCCCAAAGCTAAGGGGTCAGTTGTAGGAGGCTTGGCTGTTGTTGGTCTATCTGAGATGGAGGTTATATGTGACAAGTGGTTTCCTCTCAAATCTACAGTAAAACACATCCAATCATCTGTCAGTTGTTGATTCCCTTCAGCATGGAAAGATTTGCTGTAAACAGTGATATTTTTAAGCATTTTCCATACATTTGTTGGTTAATTTGTTAACAACTGATTCTTCTGATTTTCAGAGTAGCTGATTTTTGCTGCTCTGATCTCCCTTGTTAATACATTTCTGGCCTGATTGTACAGCATTCTACGGCACAATGTATCTGCTTGAGTTTAGCTGTGAACTAAGGTCTGTTGGTTCTATATATTTGCAGGTTTCTGGTTGGCACACAAAGGTCTTCATAAAAACTAACACATGATTTTCAGTATCTGTGAGTTCATCCAAGTCTGTAGAGGCATGTTCGAAAACATTGCAATCTGTGCAATCAAGGCAAGCCTGTAGCTTTAACTTTGCCTCCTCAGTTCAAGGCTTCATTGATTTAATTGTTGGTTTATGGTTTTAAGCCTTTGTCTATAAACAGGTACAAGGTGAATCATAACAATCATCAGAGTGTCCCACAAATGCTCATGGTAAAGACCGATAAGCATCTTTTAATGTTGTGTAGCAGTGGTCTAAAGTATTCTTGCCTCTAGTAAGATAGTTGACCATGCTGAAAGTATCTTGGTAGCTCTTGGCTTAAGTTAGCACTGTTGAAATCTCCTAGCACAATGTGGAGTGAATCTGAGTATTTATCTTCAGCCTACATAATCTGGTCAGCTAGAGTTTGTAATACATTGT